GTATATGTTGGCTGGGGTCAGTGGCTCAAGCCTATAATCCCAGCACTTTGGAAGGCCGAGGCAGGCAGATCACCTGAGGTCAGCAGCTCAAGACCAGACTGACCAACACAGAGAAACCCCATCTCTACTAAAAATACAAAATTAGCCGGGTGTGATGGTGCATGCCTGTAATCCCAGCTGTTGAGGAGGCTAAGTAAGGAGAATTGCCTGAACTTGGGAGGCAGAGGTTTCGGGTAGCTGAGATCCCCCCATTCATTGTACTCCAGCCTGGACAACAGCAAAATTCCGTTTCAAAAAAAAAAAAACAGTATATGTGTGTCCATTTAAAGGGTCTAGAACCAGTGACACCCCAGTAACAAACAGCATATTCAATCTTGGTTTCTAAGTATCATTTTCCACTAAAATAAACTAGGATTCTGTGGTAAAATGGCTGATTCCATGTATGGGACAGGAAATGTACAAGGTTAGGCTGGAACATCTTATTATACAAATATGAGTAAGAAAGTGCTCAAACACCAATGTGGACATATCCAAAGGTCATGAGAACCAGCTTGAAGGATCTACTACTGATCAGATTTAAGAAAATTTAATCATCAAAAGGAATGATGGTAGCAAATTATAACACATTAATTTTGAGGAAAAAAAAAACAAAAGGATCCTTGGGTACAAAGTAATACTAAAATAAGAGAAGAGAAAGCTCTTATTTAGAGAAGAGAGCCAGCAAATATATGTAGGAATGACAGAAGTGGGAACCACCAATGCTTTTATCAATGGCTACTAAAATCACTGGATAAGAAAATTTAAAAACTTGCAAAACAGAATATCCCATATGATCTCAATTTATCACCCCCACAGATTACTATATACAAAAGGGAAAGTGTACTTTCAAAATATAAAAATCTGGCTAAACTAAGTGATCAAACTTAATCACTAATAATGGAATAAACCATCATGTTAATCCTAACATGATGAAATGTTCAAAACATTACCCATGTAATAGAAAAAAAAAAACAACCCACAACTCTTCAATTTGAAACTAATTGTGAGGGGAAAAAAAAAAATCACATAATTTTGTGAGGCATTCTACCTAAAGACAAAAAAAGAAAGAAAAGGTAAACACTGTTCTAGATAAAACAGACATATAAGTACTAAATACAACTAATGTCTTTGATTGGATTCAGTATATTTTTAATGCTATAATGACATTACGGGGATATTTGGGAAAATTTAATTGCTGAATATGGACTGTACATTAGACAGTACTATATCAAGGTTAAATTATTTGGATATGCTAATGGCATTATAGTTATGTAAGAGAATGTGCTACTTCTTAGGAGATGCATGATGAATTTTTTGAGGTAAAGTCTCATGATGTTTCCACCTTACTTTCAAATAGTTGAGCAAGAAAGAGTGTGTGTGTGTGTGTGTGTGTGTGTAGGTATTTATACAGAAAGAGCACTTATCTCACAGAAAAGAATGAGAGCAAAAGAGGTATACTGTTAACAACTAGTGAATCTAGGTAAAGGATATAAAGGTATTTGTTGTACTACCATTTCAATGTTTTTATAGGCTGAAAGTAAAAAGAAAAAATGAGGTAAAAAGGTAGAAATTAGGTTGACTTTAGAGCAGCTGATCAGACTTGATCATAACTACTCTTCACCCTATTCATATGAGCTAAAAGCGAGTACAAAGTTCCAAAAGGTTTAGTTAAAAATAAAAGTAATAACCCTAACAAACAATAAGTAATCACAAACTAATCACTGTAAGTTTTCTACCACGGCTGTAAACTACACATAATCTCCTAAGAATTCTGTGAAAGATGATATGTGCTGGTTTATCTTGGATAATAGTGAATAAGCAAAACTATTTTATATATTTTCTCTAAATCTAAATACCAAACAAATTTTTTTCTCAAATTGAGTTTTATTTGTTACAAGGTATCCTAAATGAAATGGTGTCACAAGAGTCAAGATGATCTTGAACCCAGTATCACTGTAATAATAATGATAATAAACACTTAAAATCTGTATTGATAATTTTATTAAGCCATGTACATATATCATCTCATTTAATTTTCACAATTCTATAAGGCTGGTACTATTATTATCCTCATCTTAGATATAAAAAAAATGGCTTGGAAAAGCTATATAACTTCTTTAAGGTCATACTGCTAGTATATAGCAAATAGAGACCGTGAATCCAGGCAGTCTGACACCAAAGTCTCTTTGCTCTATATACTCTACATTCTACCACTTTACTATGAAATGTAAAATTTAACTAAACTATAAGTCACTACTGTTTCAATCCAATATCTATCAAAAATTACATGAATGAAGCATTTCAAAAAAAATTAAAAGCATGTCTTTTTTCTCTTTTTTTTTTTTTTGAGGCAGAGTTTCACTCTTGTTACCCAGGCTGGAGTGCAATGGCGCGATCTCGGCTCACCGCAACCCCCACCTCCTGGGTTCAGGCAATTCTCCTGCCTCAGTCTCCTGAGTAGCTGGGATTACAAGCACACGCCACCATGCCCAGCTAATTTTTTGTATTTTTAGTAGAGACAGGGTTTCACCATATTGACCAGGATGGTCTCGATCTCTTGACCTCGTGATCTACCCGCCTCGGCCTCCCAAAGTGCTGGGATTACAGGCTTGAGCCACCGCGCCCGGCCGTATTTTTTCTCTAATACACATTTATGTATGTAACAAATGAAGTTAGAATTCAACCAGATGCCAATTTACTGCCAAATCTCAAGTGAAAATAAAGATGATATAATAATTGCATTATTCAGTTACCTGTTCATATATATGGTTTAACATATTACAGATAGATTCAAAACAGAGACCAACACATTTTTAGAAGCTTTCATTTAGAACTCCACCCCTGCTCAATCAAGAAAAAATGATACCAAAAAAACATATTTCAGGCATAGTTATTACTCAAAAATACAAAACTGAAACAATGACACAAAAGGGTAAAAAATAACTAAGAAAATTAACCTTAAACACTGCTACAACAATAAAATATACTAATAAACAAAGCATGTTTCCCAAACCCGGTCCTCTTTCCAGGTTCTCTACCTCTGTGAAGGACGCAACAATCTTTCCAGTTATATAAGCCAAAAACCTATGATTAGCCAATGATATCTTCTTCTCCCTCACCTTCTATATCTAATCCATCACCTCGTTCCACCTCCTGAACACCTCTGGAATCCATCCACTTCTCTCTCACTCTCACCATTACCACCTTGTCCAAAAGATCATCTCTCAATTGGGCTACTCCAACAATCTCCTAACTGGCCTCTCCCCATTCCCACTCTTATCCCCTCTATCATCAGTTCGTCCACTGTATAACATCAAGTCCTTTTTTAATAGCATTTACCATAGTTGTAACTTTAAATTTCTTTGACTATTTAATTCCTGTCAGCCTCCTGTTAGACAGTAAATTCTATGAGAATAAAGACCATATTTATTCACTACTAAACCACTGTGGCCTACAAGAGTGCCTAGTTAATAAATAAACACTAAATGACTGAATGCATGTCAAAGATTACAATTTATAAATAGTCCGAAAAATAAAAATAAAGTGCTTTATAAGGCTCCCCAATTATTCTACAACAAAGATTTTTACTTTTTTGTTTTTTTGAGACGGTCCTAATTTCTACTTACCAATCCCTAACCACTGTTTAAAGTCCAGATTAAATCTCATCTTCTTCATGAAACATTCCTTAGTTATCTGTCTTCTCACCTTCTAACATTCTAAAACACTCACATAAAATCTCATATATATTGACTATATTGTCTGCTTCTTGAAGACAAAGTCCACATCTCATACATTCTGCCAGAGTATAAGCTCCCTAAGAGCAGGGATTTCTGTTTCTTGTTCACTGCTATATCCCCAGCAATTTGAAGGGTGTCTGCTCAGTAAGCATGTGTTGATTTAATGCTCTTTATATATTCCAGGATAGTGCACAAATACTTGCAGCTGTTGTATAGTGGGAAGAGTCAAAAAGAACTAAATTCCTTAAATTCTTCAAGCTTCAGTTTTTTATATGCTAAATGTAAATAATACTCAATAGCTTACTTAGTTGGAATGACTGAGCTAATGCTTTAAAAGCATCTATGCAGAGCTGAGCACAAGAGGATATTCTTTTTTTTAGAGGATACTCTTACAGTAAAGGTTTTGGTGATTTTGTGACAATAATTGAATAGTAAGAAGTAGTCACTACGTGCCTACTAAATAAATAAAATCTCAGGAACATTAAAAGTTTGAGTAATGTCTAGCTTATCATTTTTTCAATAAAAAATTATGAGTAAATTTATTCTGAAATATATTTACCCCCAAATCTTAAGCATGGCTGAAACCATTTCAGCATTTTGTGCATTAATTAGGAATAATCCCAATTTAACATTGTACCAATATTAATATTTATACTTTACTGACATGTATAGAGCATATTTGATTGCTTAAAAAAGAATAAGAATCTTAGTATAAGAACCTCTTTAGTGCAATAATCAGAAGAGAAAAGCTGCAAACTCATTTGAGTTATGTGGTTCCCAGAAAGCCAGAAAATTTCTGCCTTTTTATAAAACATTAGTGAACAGAATACAATGCTGTTCACCAGAACTATCAAAATATCTAGAAATACTTTATAACCAATGACCATAAATATATTTTTCCAAATACTTGTATCCTATTATAATGAAAAAGAGTATTAATTAAATGGCTTTTTGTGTCTTTTTGCTAAATTACACAATTCCTTAGATTGGCCACTTTTTGACATGCGGTTCTAAAAATTTTATAGCGAATTAACTGATAATTCAATATAGTCCCAGATTATTGGACTAATTAGAAACTTTTTGTTCCGAGAAGAAGCTTTATCAATTTGAAATCAGAAAATACATACACTTTACCTTTCAAAGCCTTTCCAATACCTCTGGGTACTTTCAATGACTCATAATCTAATTACAAGTCACAGGCAAACAAGAACGAAAGAACACTACCTTGTCTTTTTTTTGCCATCAATTGACACAAAATCATTGCCGAAAACCCACTGGGGACATACGGTCCAAGCAGGAAAACAGAAGAAAACTCCTAAGTAATTCGGATATAAAAAGATGTAAGACGAGGTATTCTCGAACTATAGGGTAGCAGTGAGCCACATATAGGTAAATAATCAATACAAAGAAAAGGTAAGCCAAAGAACTCATAAGAAATATAAACTCAATAAACAGAGTCAGGCTGAGTTGACCGCTGAAGGTTCTCATATACAAATATAGTCAACATAGGAAAGAATTTATTCTACACCTGTAACTTCAAAAGCCCTTAGATGCGGGTGGTGTTGGGAGGGTTCAAGGTGAGCGGGAACCAAATAAAGTGAATGAACGTTAACATTCAGATGGAAAGGCATTAATACATGCAAGGTAGTGTGTTATGGCTTGAAACAGTAACAAACATCAAAAAGGGAGAAAGAGGCTAGGAATGGGAACAGAGAGATCGTGGGGATCCAGGTTTTTTTCCTCCTTTTTAAAATTTTTTAAACAAGGAGAAACAAGGCTGACAGAGAGAGCAAGGGGGTATGAGAAAGGATCAAATGGATGCTATAGATCAGGGGAAAAGGTCTTGCCCGGAACATCTAAGAAAACCACGAGGAAAGGAGGAACAGCTGCCCACAGTTAGGCTTACGGTTTATCTCTGGAACCCAGGACAGAGCGAGGAAGAGTCAGAAGACAAATGACACTAGAAAGGAGAGACAAGGGAGGCGCCAAAACCCTCAGAGAACCCAGCTGCTTGTCCACAGGATCTTCACTGAAGGCGGACCCCAAGAAACCTGGTCATTCGGGGACCAAAGACACTAAATCCCAACCTTCTCGACTCTCCTAGCCTCAAGCCGATCCCTCACCGAAACAGAAGGACTGGAGAACTGTAAAAATATGCAGGAGCCACCAACCCCGGAAACGCTCCAGCTCTAGCAGCAGCCACCACAAAAGCAGCCCGCACAAACGCAGACGCTCCAACCTCAGCGCCGCAGCTACAGGTACTTTGAGCACCCCGGCCACCGTAGTAAGAGGAACCCCTTCAAATCCATAAGATCAGCCACTTCCAGGATACGAAGGCCTTGCGATAGGCCGTAGCGATAGCGGCGGAATAGAGGCCTCTACTACGCTTACTTTATCCATCCCTTTTTCCCATCTGTCCGCCCCCGCATCCCGCTAATCCGGCAATCGAGCAAGTGCAAAACCAAGAGAAAGTATCCGTCCGTGAGCATTGTCTTCTTAGATAGACAGACTACATTACGGCTGCCATAAATTCCTGTTGAGCACTTGGACTTCAACTACCAAGAGGCCAGGCAGCCCTTGCCTCTGGCGCAGGAACTGCAAGATCCAGCATGCATTGCGCCATTCTTCCTCGCTGCCCGGAGCAAGATAGACTCCAAGCCCGACTTTGATTAAAAAAATAAAAAGCCAGAATACCTTCTTACCCTTTTATGAAGGAACTCTAAGCTAGGCCATAGTTAGGACTTTAGGTTACTTGTAAAACATCAAGGGATATGTGCACTTATTTTCCATATTCAGATTATTTTCAAGCTATAAAACAGGACAGCCAAGCGCGATGGGTCGCGTCTATAATCCCAGCACTTTGGGAGACCGAGGCGGGCGGATTGCTCGAGGTCAGAAGTTTGAGACCAACCTGGCCAAAATGGTGAAAGCCCGTCTCTATTTAAAAAGTACAAAAGTTACCTGGACGGGGGGGCGGGCTCCCGTAATTCCAGCTACTTAAGAGGCTGAGGCAGGAGAATCGCTTGAACCCGGCAAGCGAAGGTTGCAGTGAGCAAGATCGCACCACTGTACTTCAGCCTGGACGACAGAGGGAGGGTTAGTCAAAAAAAAAAAAAAGGACGGTCTAAGGTCTAAAGATGCTTTTTATAACGTGGAAATTTTTGGCCAGGCGCAGTGGCTCACGCCTGTAATCCCAGCACTTTAAGAGGCCGAGGTGAACGGGTCATTTGAGCATAGGAGTTGAGACGAGCCAGGCTAACATGGTGAAACCTTGTCTTTACTAAAAACATAAAAAATTAGTTGGGCATAGTGACACGCACCTGTAGTCTCAACTACTCAGAAGGCTGAGGCAGGAGAATCCCTTCAACCCGGAAGGCGGAAGTTTCAGTGAACCAAGATTGTGCCATTGCACTCCAGCCTGAGGGAGACAGCGAGACCCCATCCAAAAAAGAATAAACAAAAATAAATAAAGTGGAAATGTTTATCTTCACTCCTAAATGATGTCAAGAGAAATACTAACTTACTACAAAATGTAATCCTATGCAGTTTTACAGTACCGCAGATCTTGCTGGAGCAAGGACTACCAGACATGCTTCTGAATTACATAGAAAATTATACTGAAAACTAGAAATAAAATATGCTATAGTACCGGACTATGAAACCACATGGGAATGAAAATCTTCAAGATTGAAGAGTTAAAAAGTTCAAAATTACACTTGCAATTTTTTCAGTTTAGTAATGTGTTTGGTGGTTTAAATTTTTTTTTTAATTCGCACAAAAACAGGTAGCTGGATCTATTTATTTTTTATTCATGCACTTGGACAACTAAATAACAAAACAAGGGGTATAAGATCACAAATGGCACACTTATTAGAGTGAGCAAACAAAGCAGTTTTCTTATGTGATTCCATAGCCTGTAGTTTCATGTTTTGAAATCCCCAAACTCTGTTCTGATTTTTTTTTAGGAGAGAGAGAATCTAGATGCCTTTTTGTAACTTTCATAAAGACCTGGGTTGCAAGAATGAATATATTTTATTTTTGGTATTGTGGTTAACAGGCCATCAGAAACAATGCTTGGATTCTTAAAATAACTGTATAATTATACAAAAGTAAATTGTGTGTATACTACAGACTTGGGTTTCCTGTGGATTTACCACAACAAATTTTAATTGGTTAGAAAAAGGGAGCAGAGTATCTTTCCTTCTCTCAACTTCACACAGAGGTCACAGGAGGAAACTATATTCTCCAACACTGACATGGCATTAGCTATCATACAAACTGCTTTCCAACTCTAGGGCTCTAAATTATGCAGCGCTAGCAAGTAAATATTTAAAATCTATGATCATGGAAAATAATCTGCTGTTTTCCATGCTCATGCACCGAAACAATATGAATGCAGTGAGAGAGGACATTTCCACTGAAATGATTCAGAGGTAATGTTGATAAACTATAATTAGATTGTCTGATATTTATAGGTGTTTGCTGTAAACACAAAATTGCATCCACTTATTAGTGATGTTATTAAGAAAGCTTTAAAAATATGCTAAATATTTGATGCACATATTTCTAAAGTCGTTTCAGTGATCAATTGTGTAAATGAACATGAGAGCTTAAAGAGTACATAATTTATGTAATAGACTTTATGTTTTCTAAAGAGATTCTTGTAGCTGCAGCACTCAGAACATTCTCTTCTCTAAATCTGTCTTTCACTTTCCAATTCAGCCATTTGCCAACCATGCAAGAGTTAAAACTGAAGAAACTGTTCATTCATTTTATTTCAACAAAAATATGATGAGTGCTACTAAGGGCAAGGCACTCTGGGCACTGTAAGCTGTTTATGAAACACTGACAGTTTTGAAAATCAGTTAAGATTTAAAAGGAAATTAAAAGCATACGTGAGCTTTATCAGAATAGAAAACAAAATACAATATGTATAACACTGACATTTAATAATGATTCACACATTTTGTTAATTGAAACTTATAATTGCTAATATACCTTCTTAAAGGCAGGAACTGCTTTTTGAATATCTGTGCCCTCCCAGTTCTATGCACAGTACTTTGTACAGAGTAACTGGCTCTCAATAAGTGTTTATGGAAGTTCACAGTGATGACTGTGCGGGGTGCAGTGGCTAATGCCTGTAATCCCAGCACTTTGGGAGGCCGAGGCAGGCGGATCACTTGAGGTCAGGAGTTCAAGACCAGCCTGGATAACATGGTGAAACCCCGTCTCTACTAAAAATACAAGAAAAATTAACCAGGTGTGGTGGCATGTTCCCTGTAATCCCAGCACTTTGGGAGGCTGAGGTGGGTGGATCACTGGAGGTCAGGAGTTGGAGACCAGCCTAACAACATGGTGAAACCCCATCTCTACTAAAAATATAAGAAAAAATAGCCAGGCATAGTGACACGTTCCTGTAATCCCAGCTACTCAGGAGGCTAAAGCAGGAGAATCACTAGAACCCTGGAGGCAGAGGTTGCAGTGAGCCAAGATTATGCCACTGCTCCAGACTGGATGACAGAGCATGACTCTGCCTAAAAAAAAAAAAAAAATTCATAGTGATGACTGAGGCCTTGAAATTCCCTTCTCATTCATACTGTGTACTTTTAATGTAAGCTGTTTCTAACTTGTGCTTTATATTTTTAATTAGCAATTCAGGTTGTATAATAAAGTAACTATTAAAACCAGAATATTTAGTTAATCAGAATGTCACATTCAATAATCATGAAAGCACCAATTTATATATATGTACACATACACACACATACTGCTTAGTATGTATGTGTGTGTGTGTCCTTGTATATATTTGTGTGTGTGTGCGTGTACTTATATAAAACACATTTATAATATACAGGTAACATTTATCTTAAGTGTCAAGCTCTTTCTAAAATGTCATTGTATTCCAGGCATATACTTTGAAAGCATACCAGCCATTCTAATAGCATTGATTATGATACAGCTCCAGATTTTTGCTAAGAAACTTTTATTTCTTAACTTCTAACAAGTGTATTTTTTATCCATCTCCTTCCTGGACCAGGAAAAGATGAAGATTCTATTAAATAAATGTATACCATAAATGCTTCATTCAGAATACTATGTTGAGAGACATGAACTCACCCTGATGGAACGAATACCTTGTAGACTTCTAAAAGCTAAAAAATTATTTTAAAGAAAACTTGGTGAAAAACTTTCCTTTTCTGTCCCCTCTCTTTTATCTTCAACCTCTCTCTCTCTCAACTGTGCTCCCTTTACCTCAGCAAACAAACATGCACAGAATCACCATAATTATGAAAGCAACGTCAGTGGACTCAGCTTTCCTACTAAATGCAATCACTCCCAATGCCCAGGCTGGAATGCAGTGGTACGATCACAGCTCACTGCAGCCGTGACTTCCCAAGCTCAGGTGATTCCCCCATCATCTTAGCCTCCTGACTACAGGTACACGCCACCAAGCCTGGCTAGTTTTTTGTAGAGATGGGGTTTTGCCATGTTGCCCAGGCTGGTCTCAAACTCCTGGGCTCAATATCCTCCCACCTCATCCTCCCAAAGTGCTGGGATTACGGGCATGAGCCACCACACCAATCTGGTCTATTCTATCTTCTCTTTTTCCTTTCATAGCCATGCAGCATGAGATCTCTTCACAGCAACTAGCATTTACTAAACACCCACAACTATACTAGATCCTGGAACTATAGACAGAATTCAGTAAGGAGCTTATGGTCCCTTAATACAATGTTATGAATGTTACAATAGAAGTAAGGACAAGATACTAAGAGAATGAAGAAGGTCAGTTACTCTCAAATTGAGTGAGGATCCTAGAGGAGAAAGTTCCCAAGATGATTTAAATGGCAAAAATAAGAATTAACTAGCTGTAGAAGAGGGAGGTTCAGCCAGTTTAAGACAACCCATAAATTCATCATAGCTAGAACCTGAGAGTGGGGGTGAATACTATAAGTCAGGAGAGACAAACTGGAGCTATTTCACAAGAAGACTTTGTAGGCCAGGCACCGTGGCCATCGCCTGTAATCCCAGCACTTTGGGAGGCCAAGCGGGTAGATCACCTGAGGTCAGGAATTTGAGACCATCCTGGCCAACATGGTGAAACCCCGTCTCTACTAAAAATACAAAAATCAGCTGGGTGTGGTGGGGTGGGTGCTTGTAGTCCCAGCTACTCAGGAGGTTGAGGCAGGAGAATTGCTTAAACCTGGGAGGGGAGGCTGCAGTGAGCCAAGATCACACCACTGCACTCCAACCTGGGTGACAGAGTGAGACTCTGTCTCAAAAAAACAAAAAAAACAAAAAAGACAAAGACTTTGTGTGTTATGATAAGGATCTTAGACTTTAACCTAAATATGAAGAGAACCATTTAAGGAGTGACATAACTAGGTGGCATTTCAGTCTGCTAGTTGCTGTATGAAGAATTGATTGAGCTGATAAGACCAATTGGGAGATTGTTTTCATAGTTCAGTTTTGTTTTTTGTTTTTTGGTTTTTTTTGAGACCGGGTTTCGCTGTTGTTACCTAGACTGGAGTGCAATGGCACGATCTTGGCTCACCGCAACCTCCGCCTCCTGGGT